GAGGTTAAAGGGACAGGCCAGCGATCCAGAGCCGGCTCGCCGCTGGCCTCGCCCCTCCCGCCGCCCGAGGTCGCCCCTGGGCGGTTTTCCAAGGAAGGCGCGGGAATGTGACTGCCCAAGAGCCATTTAGGGGCTTGGCCTTTACCTGCACCTCCACGATGCGGAGCCAACACTCTGCCGGAAGAGTTTAGCTGCGCGCGCCGCAGAGTCCTTGGTCCCTGTGATTGACAAGGAACTGAAGAGGAGTAGGAGCTGGCCCCTGGCAGCCCTGCTCTGCTTGGAAATGCCCTCATCACAGATCGCAGGACCCGACGCGCGCGTGCACACACATAAACACACAGATATGCACGCAGATACAGGCGTGCACGGAGATACATGTGCACACTTGCACAGGCACATGCATGCATAAACACACGCGTAAACATGTGCGAACTTGCATGCACACATGCACGCAGATGTATATCTGCACATTAGGAGATACATGCACACATGCAAACAGTGCACACACGCCCGCCGAGCGCGCCAGTCTCTTCATTGAAATTTCTTCTCCCGGAGAGAGAGGCAACGCGAAGTCTCCCCCCGCCCTACCCGACTGGCGCTACACACGGGGTTCCGACGCTAGCAGGGTGGAGGGTTTACCCCGAGCGAGGACCTCCTCTGCTTCCTAACATCACCATTGTGCCAACTGTCCAACTCTCCCTTCATTTTACCCCGATTTCACCTTCTCCTTAGGAACTCCCTTTCTGCTAAGTCCTACTTTTACAGCTTAGTCTGTTTCAGAGTTATGTGAACACCATAATGACCTCAGTCCAGTTTAAAAAGGTGGAGTACATTTTAAAATGTGCCTCTTTATATCCTTGAATAACAACAACAACAAAATAGGTTTAGATTCTCACACATCAAACCTAAAATTATTTTGGATTAATTCCAAAATAAAAACTTTCACCCGAGGAAGAATTCCGCCCCCCCCCCAACCCCCGCAAACAAAAAGTACAAGACCACCGTGGAATAAAAACGCCTACTTTACAGCCCTAGCAGGGAGTTAGGCACCGCCAGGTTCCGCTGAGCCTGTGGAGGAGGTGCGCTTAAATGTCTGCTGCGGCGAGGCAGCGCTGATTGGTCCGCGTTGCCATTTTAAATCCATTTCCAGCTGCCCTTTGCAGAGCTGGGACACTTAGCTGCACGTTGAGTGCCCTGCAGAAACCCAGGGTTTCTCCTGGGTCTGGGAACGCTTAGCTGTGATAGAGAGGGAGAGCCCCCGTCCCTCCGGATGGAGCCCAGCAGCTGACTGGGGAGGGAGGGTCTAACAGGAATCAAAGGTTTTCTGCCAGGGCTTGGCTGAAAGATGGTATCTTCATCAAAGGGTTTGAAATTTCGAGTGCTAACCATTGCAGTGACATGGCCTAACTGCCAAGTTTGCACGCTTTTTTCATGGGATTACATTCGCACCGGGGTGTGCACATTTTACATACACATGCTAAATGGGCTTCTGGATATGTTTTTGTTTGCTTCCTTTTTGCAGGGACTTTAGATACAATTCCGAGAGCCACTGTGAAAGGGATCATTGATTTCAGCCAGCAACTTTTATACTGGGTATATTATATCCTTGGGTTTTTTGTTTGTTTGATTTTTTTTTTAATATTCACAAAGGCCTGCAAGGAGGGGGATTCCAAAATGTTATTGTTTTTTTATTATTAATCCTTGACTAAGAAAAGCACCGAAGAATTGGGGTTGGGAGACTGTCCAGCCACTTGTTTTCAGGCTCTTGTCACTTAGCTATCAGACTGTTTGATCCCTTTTGAATTTGTAACAAGAATAGGGGGGAAATATTGCATCCAGTTTTGTCTAAATAGTTTTCTATTTAATTTTTTCAGGTTTCTGTGTATTTTCTGTAAGGAAGATATTCAAATTTGTTTTCATCTTTTAAGTTTTATATATCTTAAGTTAAATGGTTATATTTTCATTTAAAGAATGGATTTATTTATTTATTTTTTTTTACATTTGAGGTTTTGGTTTTTTTCCAGTTTAAGTTGTTCAGTTGTTCACTTCCACTTCTGTATCTCAACATATTTCAGGGCTAAACTCTTATTTCTAATTTGAAAACTTTCCAGGTGGTTTTTATCCACATAAAACTATTTTTTTTCTTTTTCTGCACTTAATATCAAACTGAACAGTTAGCACCTTGGTTGTGTATGTTAAAGATTTCTTATTATCTGCAATACATGATTTAGTGTTTAGATTGGGTCTCCTCATTAGTGGGTGGTAAAGTGAGCTCAGTGGACTCATAACATCATTTAGAAACAATAAATTGAATGCAGTAGATAATATCACATGTAGAAGTTCTGTTTTACATGTGTGTGTAAAAGTTGTATTCAGATGCTTTTTTTCACCTTTTTACACTTTGGAAATTGGGATGCATCTTAGAGTACAGTGTATCTTAGCGCTGTGTTATCACTTACTAGACAGTCTCTTTTCCATTTTAGTGGTATATGTAATACTGATGTATTTTATAATCAACAGCACCATGAATCAGAGAAATACATGTATGTGAAGTATATTTCTTAGTGTGGGTTGTAGTGTAACATGTATCAATGATGCTGAATTAGATAGTTGTGAGACCTGGGTTCCTCATGACTTCACTAAACCAGCTCTGCAGCCTTTGGTCAATCATTTATCCTCTCTGTATCTCCAGGTCCTCATCTCTAAAAGGCAAGGTCAGTATAATCTGAAGGTTCTTCCAGTTCTAATAGCCTTTAAAACATGTATATACTACCTTGTTCTCTGTGTCCTGTTTATATGTAAACTAGTGGCCTGGTGCATGAAATTCATGCATGGGGGGGTGTCCCTCAGTCCAGACTGCACCCTCTCCAATCTGGGACCCCTCGGGGGATATCCAACTGCTGGTTTAGGCCCATAAACCGGCAGTCGGACATCCCTCTCACAATCCGGGACTGCTGGCTCCTAACTGCTCGCCTGCCTGCCTGATCACCCCTAACCACTCTGCCTGCTGGCCTGCTCGCCCCCAACTGCCCCTCCTCCAGCCTGCTCACCCCCAACTGCCCCCCCCCACCAGCCTGCTCGCCCCTTACTGCCCCCCGCTAGCCTGCTCACCCCCAACTGC